CCCCCCCCCCCCCCCCCCCCCCTCCCCTGAAAAAAAAGCTAATTTGCAGTTTCCAAGGACACTACATATTTGGAAGTCACCAAAATTTAGTGGCCATTTTCTTGCTAGTTTTACCTCTGAAACCAGGGGACCATAACTTCCGTCAGTTGCACATATCTTGACCTCTATTCAAGATAGATGAGTATTTTTTCATCACTTGCAAAGCAAATGACAGGCTTTAACACTATACCAAAAACTCTATGCCATCAATTTTTGGTCATGTAGAGTTATTGTTATCATCTTAAAGCTTGTTCGCTTGTCTTTACTTGGATGAAAACAAAATCCATTTATCTTGAGTACAAGTCGAGATTTTGGCGAATGAAGGAGGTGGGGGTCTCCAGGTTTCACTTTCAGGGGTAAAATCAGTGAGAAAATGGCCGCCAAAGATAAGTTATTTCCTTAGCTTAAGAGTCTGTGATAACAGAAAATTTACATTATTGTGCCTTTAATCAACGTTTTCCAGTAAAATCCACACAGAAATGTCATGTTCTTTAATGGGCATGAAAGGTGTTGAGCCAAAAAATCCTCACAAAAATTCTGTAAAAGCTCTCAAATCTGCGAAAAAATGCCAGTTTCTCCACTTTGATTATTTTGACGAGAGCCTGATTCCACCACGCTGCCTCTCAATTGTTAATGATGTCTAGTAGACCATTAAACGAGAACATAATAGAAATTGCAATAAAATATTTTTAATATCTTCTAATTGCAACAGCAACAACATTAGCAGCAGCAGCAGTAATAAGAGCAGCGGTAGAAATAACAACAATAATAATATTAACAACAAATAAATCAAAGCCATTATTAGTTTATTGTAGCCATGGAATTCCTTCTCCGTCTTCTCTTCCTTCTTTCACCTGTTTCCGCTCCTCCTCGTCGTAGTCTTCTTTTTTTTCCTCCCCTTTCGTTCCCATTCCTCCTATTCTTCTTCCTCGTTATCTTCCTCCTCCTCATCTTCCTCTTCTTCTTCTTCCTCCTCCTCTCATTCTGCTGCTGGTACTCCTACTACGACCTATTCTGACAATCATAAGGGACCCCCCCCCCATTTCTACCTTTTCTCTCCTAGAGTAAATACAATACATTTCTGGATTTTATGCTTATGTTGTGTGATGTTTTCTCCCCCAGATATGCCTCCATGTATAACAACAATGAGGTCAACTAAAGAAAAACAATGACGATACCAGCGAACTTCTCGAGTATATCGAGCAAACACCAGCGTCCTGACGGATTAACAATAAATACTAATTTCTCAACATTGTTTTCTACGTCACCCGGATAATCGTGGACAGTGGTCATCCCATACCCTCGCCGTCTACTGGTCAGTAAGTGTCCGGAGTCCTGACCACCCGATCTGGGTACGGGCATGGCACGTTCTGTGTTGGATTATTTCATACGCATCCAGGAAATCCATAAGTGTTCATTTCACGTTCGGTTTACGGTGTTTGTGTTGGTTCTCTTTCTGGCGCTTGGAAAGTTCAACTTTGCGATATCGGCCGAGATAAGTCGGGTAAGTTACCAGGAGATCGGTTCTGGGATTCTGGCTCCTTTTCCTCCTCCTCTTCCAACTTTTCCTTTTCCTCCCATCCTCCTGGCTCATGTTGTCGTCATTATTGTTGCTGTAACTGTAGTTATCAATGTTTTTGTTGCTGTTGTTGTTGTTGTTGTAGTTGCCGTTGTTGTTGTTGTTATTGTTGTTGTTGTTGTTGTTGTTGTTGTTGTTGTTGTTGTAGTTGCCGTTGTTGTTGTTGTTGTTAATTTTGTTGACTCCCGGAGAAACAGAGCAGTAGTCTCAATTTTCCATTTTCGTCGATGTCTGTCTCATTACATGTATCGTTTGGCATGTTTCGTTCTTCAAATCAATGCTTCTTAAATAAAAACAAAAAAAAACCTAATCTTTTAAGGGGGTAAAAAGGAGAAGAAGAAGAAGAAGAAGAAGAAGAAGAAGAAGAAGAAGAAGAAGAAGAAG